TTTCCCTCCCTCCCTCTTCCTTTCTTCCTCCCTCCCTAGCTCTTTTCCTTCCATCTTCCCTCCTTTCTTCCCCTTCGTTTTCCTCTTTCCCTTCTCCTTTTTCTTCCTTCCTTCCTTGCTCTTTTCCTTCAATCTTCCCTCCTTTCTTCCCCTTTGTTTTCCTCTTTCCCTTCTCCTTTTTTCTTCCTTCCTCCCTCCCTCCCCACCTCTTCCTTCCTTCCTTCCTTCCTTCCTCCCTCCCTCCCATCCATCCATCCATCCATCCATCCATCCATCCATCCATCCATCCATCCATCCATCCATCCATTATCTGGTAAATTGATCTTCCATCTTCTTTTCCCCTTTTTGTAGAGGTTCCTGAGGATCCAGAGTTAGGGTAAGTCACCCATCCTGCCTTTTGCCCCTTCCGCCCCTTCTCTCCCTTCCTCTCCCCCATTAAAATATCCCAGAATGCTTCTCTTCCCTTGTGCCCAATTCCTTCAAGACTTCACACCTTTTGGTCCTTTTTAACATCACCCGGAGGCTTCGGAACGTGCAAGACCATATAATCTCCTGTTCCTAAGCTCTGGGTGGACTTGAAACTAACTTGACTTTTCCTGTTGGTTCGTAAGTTTTAAATAATAATGAGAGTTAACACCAGCAATAATTGGTTACGGCTTGCGTGATTCCACCAGTCTTAGACCGAATTTTAGAAATAGGGGAGACAGGATAGCAGCGTTCCAGTATCTGAGGGGCTGCCACAAGGAAGAGGGGGTCATGTTATTCTCCAAAGCACCAGAGGGCAGGACGAGAAACAATGGTTGGAAACTGATCAAGGAGAGAAGCAACCTAGAATTAAGGAGAAACTTCCTGACAGTGAGGACAATCAACCAGTGGAACAGCTTGCCACCAGGAATCGTGGGTGCTCCATCACGGGAGGTTTTTAAGAAGAGACTGGACATTCATCTGTCTGAGATGGTATAGGTTCTCCTGCTTGAGCGGGGGGCTGGACTAGAAGACCTCCAAGGTCCCTTCCAGCTTCTATTCTATTCTATTCTATTCTATTCTATTTTTCTCTATTCTATTCTATTATTTCTTATTCTATTCTATTCTATTTCTATTCTATTCTATTCTATTCTATTCTGTTCTGTTCTGTTCTGTTCTATTCTATTCTATTCTATTCTATTCTATTCTATTCTATTCTATTCTATTTTATTCTATTCTATTCTACTGTAGATTACCCACCCATTATAATTCTGTGTTATAAACAAGGATTCTTATTTTTTCCCCCAGTTCATGCAGATTAAGCAGCTCTTGGAGAAAAGATTTCCGAACAAACTTGACATTGTGAGTTGTGGTGGAGCCGATCCAGAAGGGCGGGGAAGGGCTGGGTGTAAATCCATCAGTGGTCTGAATTGGAGCTCAAACATTTCCTTCCGATCCCGAATCCAGACTGGGAAAATCTGTCTGAAGTTAAACCAGCAGCCCCTTTTGCTGGCTTCTCGCTTTCCATGCTTGACTTCAAAAACCGGTCTCCTTTTGGCAAACCGCCCCAAAGCCCGTGTTTAAGCCGTCCTAAATGAATTTTTACAGTCCGAGTGGTCCTCAACCTACGACAGTTCACTTAGTGACCGTTTGAAGTTACGATGGCACTAAAAAAAGGGACTTAGGAACACTTTTGACACTTTAATGACCGTTGCAACACTCACACACACACCCCTCACGATCACGTGATCAAAATTCAGATGCTTGGCGACTGACTCAGATTTACGACGGTCGCAGCGTCCTGGGGGGTGTCACGTGATTCCCCCTTTTGCGACCTTCTGACAAGCAATGGGGAAGCCAGATTCACTTAACAACCATGTGACTATAATAATAATAATAATAATAAAGTTGGAAGGGACCTTGGAGGTCATCTAGACCAACCCCCTGCTCAGGTGATTAACAACGAGGCGATTCACTTAACAGAAAGGACTTTGAATGGGGCAAACCTCACTTAACAAGTGTCTCACTTAGCGACAGAAATTTTGGGCTCCTTTGTGGTCGTTAAGTCGAGGACTCCTGTAGCTGGAGAGATGAGTGTCTGGGATTCCCTCCCTTTGCTTCTTGTGACGAGGGCGGCTGACTGACCCTCGCATTTTCACGACAGCCTTTTCCCTCTTTCCCATCACTTTTTTCCTCTCCAGACTGGCGAAGTTGCTGAGAGTGGAACCTTCGAAGTGGTTCTGCCACAACCCGATATAGTGTTGCATTCCAAGAAGGTGAGAAGGGGACTTGGGGGGCTTTTGAAATGGGACTTTATGGGCTAAACCAACATTGAACTGTGTGGGGGGGTGCTTGGTGCTCCCGGCACTTGGTTGTTTCCTGGCAGACGTTTCATGACCCAACTAGGTAACATCATTAGTGTTAGAAGGGAGAGGGGTTGGCAGGGAGGAGGAGGAGGAGGAGGAGGAGGAGGAGGAGGAGGAGGAAGACTGTGGGGTCCTTGGTGCTCTCTGCACTTGGTTTTTCCTGGCAGACGTTTCATGACCCAACTAGGTAACATCATCAGAAGGGAGGGGTTTGTGGAGAGGAGGAGGAGGAGGAGGAGGAGGAGGGGAAGGAGGAGGAGGACTGTGGGATCCTTGGTGCTCCCTGCACATGGTAGTTTCTTTGCAGACGTTTCATGACCCAACTAGGTAACATCGTCAGTGTTAGAAGGGAGGGGTTTGTGGAGAGAAGGAGGAGGAGGAGGAGGAATAATGAGAGTTCCTTGGTGCTTTCTGAGTTTGGTTGTTTGTTGCAGACATTTTATTACCTAATAGGTAATGTATTAGAAGGGAGAGAGCAGAGAGGAGGAGGAGGAGGAGGAGGAGGAGGAGGAGGAGGAGGAGAAATAAGAATAACACACTTGGAAGGGACCTTGGACATCTTCTAGTCCAACCTCCTGCTCAAGCAGAACACCCTAGTAGTTCACAACCCAACTAGATAACACCATCATTTCTCAAAAAGAACGGTGTTTGCCTTCTTTTTATACCCAAGTGTCTCCTAACCAAGGAACTACCAAGAACATCCCCATCAACGCTGACAGGTTGACCCTGACCAGTCTATAAACTGACTGGAAGCTCTCCAAAACTCTACCATCCTGGTTTTCAGAGGGGTACCATGGTTTGTTGAGGGAAGCTTGGCTGTTCGCCCAACCCTTCCCAGACGGAAGCCTTGGGACTCACTCGCCCCTCAAGTCTGGGACCGGCCAATCTCAGAGGTGCCCAGACTTGAGGTGGGAAAGGATGGAGAGCAGACCATCTTCCTTCTCCCCACCCAGAATGGCGCTGGCTACGTGGACACCGAGGAGAAGATAAAAGCCGTCTGCGAAGGCATCAAGAAGCACCTGAAGATCAAGTCCCCCAAGAGCAGCGTGGTGACCAAGAAGCTCTTGCTGAAGAAGGAACAACAGGGTCATGCGAGTCAGAAACCGGAAGTGAAACTGGAAGCGAAACCAGAAGCGAAACTGGAAGCGAAACCAGAAGCGAAAACGGCAGCGAAAGTGGAAGCGAAACCGGAAGTGGAGGCAGAACTGACAGGAGAATCGCTGACGGGTTCACCAGCTTCTCCAGAGATGGAAAAGAAAGCAGAAGTGCTCCTCTTGACTGAGACCACCAATGATTTAGAGACCCCCATCCCCAGGTAATAAGGTGGTGCCCCAAGGATTTAAAAAAAGGGGGGGAGGGTTTCCTGTCCTCCAATGACCCCCGCCCCCACCCCAAATTGAAGGGAAATAATATCTTCTTCCTGCAGCACGTGAAGAACTCGGAGGGCAGATCATGACGGGGTCATCCGAAAGGAAGACGACGCCTGGGTGATTCCTGATGTCTCTCTGTCTCCTAATTTCCCATCCTCTCTGCGGAAGATGCGCAGTTAAAGAAAAGGGAAAATCTTTTTGCTTTGGTGTCTTCCATGGGTTTATATTTTATTTCTTTCAGGGGAGCTGGGGGGGGGAAAGAGGAATGCAGTAACTCTCATTGCCTGGGATCAACCCGTTTGAAAAGAAAAGAAATAAAAGGGAGGGAAGGGAAGGGAAGGAAGGAAGGAAGGGAAGGAAAATGGGAGGGAGGGAGAGAGAGAGAGGAAGGAAGGTGAGGGAGGGAGGAGGAGGAGGATAGGAAGGAAGGAAGGATGGAAGGAGAGGGAAAGAGGGAGGGAGGGAAGGAAGATGGGAGGGAGGGAGAGAGGGAGGAAGGAAGGGAAGAAAGGAAGGAAAAAAGAGAGAGGGAGGGAGAAGGAGGATAAGGAAGGAAGGAAGGAAGGAAGAAAGGAAGGAGAGAGAATTAGATCAGCCAAACCAGTTAGACCAGACAGGATTCATAACCAGATGAGCTAAATGTACTTTATTGTAAATCTCCGTTAACACAATTGTGCAAGTCCGCGATTACAACTCTCCCGCCCCCTCCTTTACAACCTAAGAAACCAGGCCAGGCCCCTTTTCCTTCACTCCCTCCCTCCCTTCCTGAGGGCTCAGCTGTCTCTTCTCTGACTATTCCTCTCCCGAGGTCTTTCCCACATACCGCTCCACTTACAGAACTAAACCCTGTTGCCCCCCAGGACAGGAAACCACAGAGAAGACGAGACCACTAGGACAGATTTGGGGGCTCAGAGATTTACAGCCTGGGGTCCTCACTCTGACTGGATGAGAGCATGAAAGACAGCTTGGTGACTTCGTTCGTTCGTTCGTTCGTTCGTTCGTTCATTCATTCATTTTCATTCATCAATCAGACTTCTTAACCACCCATTTCCTAAGTGGTACAAGTTCTCTTCTCTTCTCTTCTCTTCTCTTCTCTTCTCTTCTCTTCTCTTCTCTTCTCTTCTCTTCTCTTCTCCCCTCCCCACCCTTCCCTTCCCTTCCCTTCCCTTCCCTTCCCTTTCCTTTCCTTCATCTATCTTCCTTTCCTTTCCTTTCCTTTCCTTTCCTTTCCTTTCCTTCATCTATCTTCCTTTCCTTTCCTCTTTCCCTTTTCCTTTTCCTTCCTTCTTTTCCTTTCTTTTCATACACAGGTCTCAAACTCCAGCATCTCTGCAGCATCTGCACGCAGCTGCCTCTTAGCCGGTCCCCGTCCGGACCCTTCCCGACATTCCTTATTCGGGCACATCCCCACGTTTGGCTCCACCGTGACGGCGTGGATGCCGTGTTCGCAGAACACACCCTTGACCCTCTGAATCACCGGCCCGAAAGCGGCCACGTCGAGACACACCACGTGGGCCGTGGCCACCAAACGGCCGCAGCCGTCCAGCTGCCAGACGCGCAGCTGCCGCACGGCCACCACGCCCTCCGTGGCCTGGAGGCGTCTCTCCAGGAGCCACAGATCCAGGCCTTCTGGCGTGGCTTGGAGGAGGACCATGGCCGAGGCCCGCAAGGCGGGCCAGATCAGCCACAGGAAGGCCATGGCAACCACCATCGCCAGCCCGGGATCCACGTACAGCAGCCAACAATCCATTGACAGGGCTGGCAGGACCTCAGATGTTACCCAAAGCTGACACGGATCCTTTGGGCAGGGTTCAAGGCACGTGGCGTGTCCAGGGCAGGGAGTCCACCAGAGGTAGATCATGAGAGAATGCAGGAAAACCGCCAGGGGTCCAAAACAAGCCATCATCCATCCGAGATAAAGAGTCCGCCACGGTCCCGTGGCCAATGCAGGATTCCCCTCTCTGACCAACCAGGTTTGTCTATGGTTTGAGGATCCGTGGCCCAGAAGATCTGTTGGAGGAAGAGAAGGAAGACTAAGACCAGCTTAGTTTGAATTTAAGACACAGCTCCACTTGTGGTATAGGTCCTCCTGCTTGAGCAGGGGGCTGGACTAGAAGACCTCCAAGGTCCCTTCCAGCTCTATTCTATTCTATTCTATTCTATTCTATTCTATTCTATTCTATTCTATTCTATATTCTTTACTTTTCTATTTTTTTTTCTATTCTTTTCTATTCTTATTGTATTTCTATTCTATATTCTATTCTATATTCTATTCTATTCTATATTCTTTACTTTTCTATTTTCTATTTTCTTTTCTATTCTTATTGTATTTCTATTCTATATTCTATATTCTATTCTATTCTATTCTATTCTATTCTATTCTATTCTATTCTATTCTATATTCTTTACTTTTCTATTTTCTTTTCTATTCTTTTCTATTCTTATTGTATTTCTATTCTATATTCTATTCTATATTCTATTCTATTCAATTCTATATTCTTTACTTTTCTATTTTCTATTTTCTTTTCTATTCTTTTCTATTATTGTATTTCTATTCTATTCTATTCTATTCTATTCTATTCTATTCTATTCTATTCCCCATCACATTCTATTCTATTCTATTCTATATTCTTTACTTTTCTATTTTCTATTTTCTTTTCTATTATTGTATTTCTATTCTATATTCTATTCTATATTCTATTCTATATTCTATTCTATTCTATTCTATTCTATTCTATTCTATTCTATTCTATTCTATATTCTTTACTTTTCTATTCTCTATTTTCTTTTCTATTCTTTTCTATTCTTATTGTATTTCTATTCTATATTTTATTCTGTGCAAACTTACCTTCCATTTCCTGCTTCCCCATTGGCCCAAACCTTTGTTTGCTACAGCAGGCTCCGACGTCCAGCTTAGTGGGCACTTTCCAGGGCAAAACCTCCCTGGCCAGATGGATGGGGATGGCCAGGGCCCCGATGCCCATCAGTGCCAGCGGGTGTTGGGTCAGCCGGGGCTCCGCCATTCTCCGAAGGGCCTCGGCCAGCAGAGCCAGGCACAACGCGCTCAGCAACACGGCGTTGACCAGGGTGCCGGCGACGGGGGCTCGCGACCACCCAAATGTGTTCTTCCAGCTGGCATAAGCGCTGGCGGCCGTGCCCAGCCGGGCGTCCATCAAGCGGACCGCCAGGGCCAGCGTGCCTTCCAAGGTGTGGAAGGCGCAAGCCTGCAAAAGCAGCGAGGCCGTCACGCGGCTGGCCACCATCTCCGCCAGGAAGAGAGTGACCAACAGGTAGAGCTGGCCCAAAGTGAAGTCCGGGCTGCCCACCAACCAGGCTGGCAGGCTGGCGAGGGAGAACTCCGGCGTCTTTCTCAGGTGAGCTGCCATCTGCAGCTTCTGGTCAGTTCTTGGTAGACCCCTCGCTCGGTGCCAAGCGGTGCCAGGGTCTCAGCCTGGCAGCCCACCCATTGTGCCCCTCCGGGATCCTGAGCTGGCCTTTCCTGGCCTCTTCGGATCAACGCCTGTGGGCCTCTTTGCTGCTGTGTGTCTCCTCCCGGCTTCTCATTCCCAGGGGGATTTGGTCGGCAGCTGCCGGGGAGTCCTGGCACGCAGCCCTGGCCGGGCTTCCAAGAGGCCATTCTCTTCTGATTTCCCCCCTCTTTCTCCTGGACCCGTGCCCGGCTGTCCACCAGTTGCAGAAAGGCGGCCAAGCTTATCAGTATGCATGGGATTCTTGCGAGGAAAGGAACAGGCAGATCCAACGGGATGGGGGAGTTCCTGTTGATTTTGGTTCTCGTTTCTTGCACTTATTGATTTAGTGTATCGCATTTATGGAGGTTGTGCCATCACTGATACGCAACACTAATAACAGAATCACAGAAGGGATTCGTGGAAGGGACCTCTTCTAGTCCAACCCCCTGCTGAAGCACAATAATAACAGAATAACGGAGATGGAAGGGCCCTTGGAGGTCTTCTAGTCCAGCCCCCTGCTCAAGCAGAATAATAACAGAATAACGGAGATGGAAGGGCCCTTGGAGGTCTTCTAGTCCAGCCCCCTGCTCAAGCAGAATAATCACAGAATAAGAAAGATGGAAGGGACCTTGGAGGTCATCTAGTCCAAACCCCTGCTCAAGCAGGCTACCCGACACTGTTTCAGACAAAGGGCTGTCCAGTCTCTTCTTGAAAACCTCCCATGTTGGCACACCCACAGGTTCTGGAGGTGAGCCCTTCCAGGGATTGATTGTTCTCACTGTCAGGGAATTCCTCCTTCATTCTAGGTTGCTTCTCTCCTTGATTAGTTTCCTTTTTTTTTTTGTTTCTTTGCTTCTTGTCCTGCCTTTGGGGGCTTGGGAGAATAGGTGGACCCTCCCTTTTGGGGGGGTAGCCCCTTAGATATTGGATGTCTAATATCTAATAAAACCCATTTATATATAATTTAAATAAAACATTAGCATAGATAGATAGATAGATAGATAGATAGATAGATGATAGAAAGATAGATAGATAGATAGATAGATAGATAGATAGATAGATAGATAGATGATAGACAGACAGACAGACAGACAGACAGACAGACAGACAGACAGATAGATAGATAGATAGATAGATAGATAGATAGATAGATAGATAGATAGAAAGAATGTGAGTACAACACACTATAAAACTCTGTTCAATAGGACAACCTCTGAAAGTAAAAGCGTCTAAGACAAAGTCAGGACAGCTAAAATGCAAATACATTTTAATTACAATGAGTGTAGTGAGGGCCAGTCAGGGTTCATGGATCTTCCGTGCCAAAAGGCAGCCTGTGTTTGTTTGTGTGTGTACGTTCTGTATGTGTTTGTGTGTGCCAGGCCAGGGAGGAGGACCTGGGCAAAGGGCCAGGGGACCCGAAGAGCTGAGAAAGGCTGGAGCAGCTGAACTGGAAGGATTTGCTGGCCCCGAATTCACCTTTTCACAAAGAGTCTGATTGTTTATTTGGATGAGTCAGATTTGTACCCAGGCTGGACAGAGAATAGCTGAGCGACCTTCACTCAAAGAAACGGGAAAGCTTTAACTCTTTGCAGGAGCAACACCACAAGCCAGCCTGCCTAAGATGGATAAGTAAACTGGGATTAAGCCCATCGGGGTTTAGCAAACATAGGCTAGGATGCATGCAATGAGCTGACATTTAGCCAACCGTAGTTTTGGGTGTTGTGCAAATACAATCGAGGGGAGCGTTTCTCAATCTCAGCAATTTGAAGATGGGTGGGCTTCAACTCCCAAAATTCCCTTCCAGCATGCTTTAAGATGGGGGGGGGGACATAAACTGCCAGAATCTCCCAGCCAGCAAGCTTTAAGAGGGGTGGACTTCAATTCCCAGAATCCCCCAGCCAGCTTGAATTAAGTTGGATGGACATCAACTCCCAGAATTCCCCAGCCAGCATGCTTTAAGATGGATGGACATAAACTCCCAGAATTCCCCAGCCAGCATGCTTTAAGATGGGCGGACTTCAACTCCCAGAATTCCTCAGGCAGCATGCTTTAAGAGGGGTGGACTCCAACTCCCAGAATGCCCCTCCAGTATGAGGATTGGGGACTTTGGGGAGTTAAAACCCCACAAATCTTAACAATTGCTGAAGTTGAGAAACACCAGCCTAGCTAGATATGCTGCATTCAATAAACCTCTATTTAGCCAATCGTACCTTGTTTTTTGGGGGGTGGGGGGCGTCTTGCAAAAAACCCTAGGGGCGCTTTCAATAAACCGCCATTAAGCCAAAAAACCGCAGTTTGCGGGGGGGGGGAAAAAAAGCGGAAAAAAGCGAGCGGCCGCCAACGGCCGCGAGAGGGCAGCAAAGAGACGCTTGGAGCGAAGGCGAAGCTCGGAGCGGAGGCGCGGCGCGTCCCTCCGCGGCCACCGTCGGCTCTTCCGGCATCCCTCCCACGTGACCCAAACAGCCTCGCGCTTCCGGGGCCTTCCTCGCCGCCGCTTCCCGCTTCTTCGCCGGGGCCGCCGAGCCGGAGCCGCCGGTGAGAGCCTCGCTTCCCTCTTCCCTTCCCGGGCAGGGCGGGCCGGGCTCGCGCGGGCCGGGCGGGGGGAAGAGCAGGGGGCTTCCTCCGGGGCTGCTCCCGAGGCCAGACTACAAGGCCCATCGCCCCCCGCCGCGGCTGGAGGGGGCCCGGCCTAACCCATAATCCTAAACCAGACTAATACGACCTCCTTCCCTCCCTCCCTCCCTCCCACGTGGGTGGGACGACGGTCTTTTGCATTTTCCTCCCCCGGGGGGGCTGGCATTCCCAAAGTCTGGATAGACTACAAAGCCCATCACTCCACCCCTAATCTGCAGCCAGTCCCCTCCTAGCTGCCTACCACCACGCCATGGGGGGGGCGGCCGTCTTGCCACCAGTTTCCCCTCCCCCTCCGAGGCTTCTGCCCCCCCTCCCCTCCAGTTGGGCTGGGTCACAAGACCCATCCTCCCCTGCCAGGCCAGCCGTTGGTTTAGGGCGCCATTCTGTATGGGGAATGAACACCCCCCCCTAGAAATCCCTCCCCCCCACCCTTTCCTCTGCACAATGGTGTATACTGGGGTCAGATTGAGAGAAAGGGCCAATTGGGCTGGATCACAAGACCCATCCTCCCCTGCTAGGGCAGCCACTGGTTTGGGGCGCCATTCTGTATGGGGAATGACCCCCCCCTAAAAATCCCTCCTCCCCTTTGTACAATCGTGTATACTGGGGTCAGATTAAGAGAAAGGGCCAATTGGGCTGGATCACGGGACCCATCCTCCCCTGCCAGGCCAGCCATTGGTTTGGAGCTCCAGTCTGTATGGGGAATGAACCCCCCATA